GTGAGTAATTACTTTCTTTTTCTTTCTTAACCTCATACATGCAATTATTATCTTGATATAGAACTTCTTTTGTGCTTCCACTTTATTTTACTCAATTGTACTTTCATGCTTCATTGAAAAAGAGATTTTACTTTCATGCTTCATTGAAAAAGAGATTTTACTTTCATGCTTCATTGAAAAAGAGATTTTCTCATTCTCCTACTTGGGTATATTTCTTTCGATGCATGTGCCGACCCACTGGTGTTATGCATTTCGGTGTTTCGTCGACAGTGATGGGTAGAATTTCTTATTCCAAGGACCCCTTGGAAGTAGACCAAAAGGAATCCCTTGAAAGAGATGCTCATATTGCATGGGCCCCAGGGTGAAAAGAACAGCTAACGTCTCACAATTATTAATTCTCTCTATTCCTCTAGCTATATCGTTGTTCAACTGTGTGTGTGAGAGAGAGAGTCATCATGACTGTTAACTGGAAATAGGAGGGGAAGCTGGGATGTTTCTAATGATCATGTGAGGCATGCTTACCTGAATGAATCATTTCGTTCTAATTTTTCTTACATAATAGTGATAATGGTTAGTTGTATTATGGTGATTTGCCTAGCTTAGGCAGCAATAGATGCGTCGTGAGGTAGAATTGGATCATTTTATGGTTACCATGTCGCTATTAATAGAAAGAAAATATTACCATTGCAGAATGTAGCAAGCTGGAAAGTGTATATTGAAATATTGCCATTGAAGAAGGTAACAAGAGAGGAAAGTTTATATTATATGTAACAAGATAGGAAAGTACACATTATACCATTGTGTTACTATTATATATACAATGAAAGAACCACCACAAGAAATGAATGTGGTGTTTGTTGATGATTACACTCGTTTTATTTGAATTTATCTTTCGAAACGAAAATCTGAATTTTTTGTTGTATTTATGAAATTTCATCATATGGTTGAAAGGAGATTTGATAAAAGAATTAGAGTATTTCAATGTGATGGAGGTGGTGAATTTGCTAAGAAATTATTTATTGACCATCTTAATTACAATGGTATCATGCGACAATTATCATGTTCGGGAACCCCTGAGCAAGATAGAATAGCTGAAAGGAAACATCGAAATCTTATAGAATTGGGCGTTACAATGATGTTTCATGTAGGAATTTCTAAAAGATTTTGGGTTGAAGTCTTTCACACTGTAATATTTGTTATCAACATAATTCCTTCTACCAGTTTAAAAATGGATTCACCATATTCATTCTTGTTTGAACGCTTACTAGACTACTCTTCACTTTAAGTATTTGGTTGTCGATGTTTTCCATATCTTTGAGACTATGCTACAAACAAATTTAGTCCACGTTATCTTTCATGTGTATTCTTGGGCTATAGTGTCCAACATAAGGGCTACAGATGTCTACATCCACTCACAGGATGCGTCTGTATCTCTAGATATGTTGTATTTGATGAAATTATATTTCCTTATACTAACTCAAATTCTTTTTGTGATAGTGTTTAGGTTCAGGGGGAGGTATCCACCTATGCAGAATGGTCCGAGTGTAATGAGCCTAACATACATGCTCTTTCCTCTTTTGATTCATCAGTTCCACATGACCAACCATACAGGACACCCTTGATGTATCTGGTCCCTCAGGTTCTTCTTTGCCCATCACCAATGATAGCTCTTCAACTTCTCTTAAAAAGGGACATATCACCACTGCATCACCGATCCAAAATGTCCCCAGAATAATGCAACACACAACTATGGTGATAAAAATGTTGCAGCTTAAGAAACCAATCAATCTAATTTTTTACCAGTCTTTGAGCATCATTGTCATCACATGGTTACAAGATCTCAAGATAGTACTCGAAGACCTCGAATTCTCCCATCCATGGCAGCAATATCAAGTGCTCCTATTTTTTAACTTATCCTTTTTTAAACTAAAACCATTAAGTCTGCCTTAGGTTATTCAGGTTTCTAAACCTAAAACCATTAAGTCTGCCTTAGGTCATTCGGATTGGCATCGTGTCATGGAAGAGGAAATTGAAACCCTATATGTTAATTCAACTTGGGGAGCTAGTTCCACGTCTTCTAGGTATGAATGTTGTTGGTTGTCATTGAGTCTATAAGTCTAAATTAAACTTTGATGGAAGTCTAGAGAAACTTAAAGCCACACTAGTTGTTAAAGGATACAATCAGGTTGCTAGAATTGATTTCTCTGAAATATTCAATCATGTTATTAAGCCTGCTAGTATTCAAATTGTGCTCACCATAGCTATTGTGTGCCACTGGCCTATCAAACAACTTGATGTGAAAAATGCTTTCCTGCATGGTTTTCTTAAGGAAAATGTGTTTATGGAACAATTTCTTGGATTTGGAAGCTCAAAATGTCCCAAATCATGTCTACATATTAAAAAGAGCTTTATATGGTCTCAAACAAACGTATCGAGATGTTGAAATTGTATATTGAAATATTGCCATTGTAAAAGGTAACAAGAGAGGAAAATGTATATGTACATTACATGTAACAAGATAGGAAGGTGCACATTCTATCATTGTATTACTATCATATATACAATGAAAGAACTACCACAAGAAATCAATGTAGGGCACAATTATCCTATCAAAAGTTCCTCTCTCTAGAACTACCACAAGAATCAATGTGGGGCACAATTATCCTATCAAAAGTTCCTCTTTCTCTATAATTCTTTAGCTGTTGTGTCATATTCCCTGCCGCACTTGATGTCTCAATAATGCCTGTTCCGAGTTGCAGCCATTGCTTTGTGTTTGTCTTCAACAATGTCTCCGTAAAATTGTGAAAAAAATGGCCACTGCATAAAATTTGTTTTATTATGTGGTATCAAAGAAAATCTGAATCTTATCATGTAAATTAATGAGTCTTAACTCGTTAGCCTTGTCAAGATATTATATTGTGGCACTTTTTTTCCATCCTGAGCACAAAACCTTGATGCATCCCAATTTATCGTACAACATATGATTTTTTTATTTTTTGCTATTGCAAAAGTCGTCTTAAAGGATGCATTTCCACAGCCCGCACCCTTGCAAAATGCCCTGGCAAACACTAGTGTTTATTTGACTACCGACAACAATGACAAATCAAATGGTAAAAGTAATCTATGTTTAGCTCTACCCTAATGTAATATAATAGAGACTATGGACTATAGCTATCAAGATTGGACCGGATTACCCCGTCCGACCGATCAGATTGCCTATTGATGTCTTAGACGGTTCGATCTAAAGCCAAAATTAAGTTTGGTAAAAAACTTATCAAAATCAATGTCTGACCAGTTTGACCGATCGGATTATTTAGGTTTGATCAATTCGACTTGCGAAACAAAGTTTATAAATTTTTTCTAATACATTTTATATTTTTTAACTAATATTCTTATTCTTAAATTTTTTAAAGATTTTTTCTATCAGTTCAATCTGTCGATTTTGATTGGATCAAACTCTTGACCACTGTTGGAAAAACCAGGCAATCTAAGCAATAACCGCCTGGTGAGATCAGAAGCGGCCATTGGACGGTTCCAGTTTTGGTGATCGGTTGGTAT